TATACAACTCCCAGTTGGTTTTAGCTGAGTATAGAAAGGCTCTCGGACCATTGTTTCTCAGAAATGTGGTCAGAGGGCCGCCTGTATCAGAGCAACCCAGAGAAGGGGAGTCGGTTGAAAATGTAGATTCCTGGCATCCTTGACAGTCGGGCCTAGAAATCTGTTTTATAAAAACAATTGCCTAGGTGGCTGTGGGGCACCCAAATAGGGGTTCTGAAGGAGTGAGGGCACAGGTTTTGTCTGGTATGTTCACTGCTCCACCCTTAGCACCAAGAACATTGCCTGGCACCTGAAAAGTATGCAGCACATACCTGGTGAGTGAGAGAATGAGTGAGTGCCATTTTCTGCTGCTGCTCTGCTATGGGTTTGGGAATCTTGTTAGAATTTAATAAAAACGAATAGTATAAGCTATCTTAAGTGACAGGATAGGGGCTCTCCTCTATGTAAATTATTTGAACTCTAAATGCTAATGTGCCCCTTTTTTCATGGCCCAGAGGTTTGTTTATTTTAAGTCAGGCATAAAGTAGGTAGATACTTAATGGCTGTACGTTGGATTCCTGGTTTTCAGCTCTGTTCTAAATGAGGTTGCTTCAAAAATGAGGAGCCTTTGTGTTACTTTGACCTTAATATTTATCTGGGTTATTTTAAAAGATTAACTTCCAAAGTTCTGTTAGCTAAGTAAGATGGAGCTATTTAAAAACCCAAGATAGACTTTTTTGTGCCTACGTGTGGTTACGAGTCCTGCCCCTCACCCCCTGCTGTGGAGCAAAATGTCTGCTTTCTAAAAATACTGCTATTGAAATATTCCCAGGCCCCAGAGGGGGTTAAATTGTGAGAACAATAGGCATGCCTTGTCATCTTTCATATGCTTTGAGATTATTGGGATTTGAATATGTTTCTCTTTCCCTCGAATTTTTAAGTCTGAGAGTACCACTCCAAACCTTTAGAGTCTCTTCTGTTACTTATTTTCTTAACAAGCAGACATTAAGTATGCATTGTTTTAAGTATCTTTATCTACTCTATTCTAATTTTTTGGTGTTTTTTTTAAGTATGTTTTTATTGATTTCAGAGAATTCGAGGGAGAGGGAGAAACATCAATGATGAAAATCATTGATCAGCTGCCTCCTGCACACCCCCCGACTGGGGATCGAGCCTGCAACCGGGTATGTGCCCTGACCAGGAATCGAACCTTGTTCTCCTGGTTCATGGGTCGATGCTCAACCACTGAGCCATGCCAGCCGGGCTGGTGTTTTATTTTTAATTCAACNCAGCCTGCAACCGGGTATGTGCCCTGACCAGGAATCGAACCTTGTTCTGGTTCATGGGTCGATGCTCAACCACTGAGCCATGCCAGCCGGGCTGGTGTTTTATTTTTAATTCAACTGAAAAGTACGTTATTCCTGTTGAGAACACACAATTAAGAAAAAGAGTACTGTGTATCCCAATGGAACAGTGTTTTCTCATTAAGGTAAGCAAGGCACAAATGGAGTACCTCTTCAATACCAATTTTTTTTTTTTTTTTTTTTAAATAAGTGATAGTTGAGTGCCTTCACAATGCCAGGACAAGGCTAGGCTCTGAGATGGAGATGTGAACAGCATCGTTTCTGAACTTAACGGGTTCAAATTCTAGTTAGAAAAATGGACAACCAGCCATTGTGTCAAAGAGCAGAAACGTATGTATGAGGGTAGTGGGAGTACAGAAGAAGTGAAGTAGAACTAAATTGTGAATTGTGTAGGGTTAAGAGCTGGACAGGGTGGGGCAGGTTGCTACTGGCAGAAGGAAGGGGCTTCTTGGCATGTGACTTGATATATTCTAAGAGAGGGAAGGGCTTCTGTGAGCCACGGCAGGAGTAACTATATGCTAAGGACTTCACTTTGTTCATCAACTGATAGAGATTTGCTGAAGGAACTTTTGAATAGCACCGTGTCATGAGCAGATTTACAGGAAGAGTGGGGTTGAAGCAGAGCGATCCAAAACATGCTGAGGGGCGAATTAGAAGGGACTCGTGTAATCTGGAAAAGAAAAGAAAGCTCTAATTGACAGTGATTTTACAGCGAAACCAGAGTTTTCAAATGTGTTGTTTGCTTTACAACTCCACACATTCTGAAATTTTGGTTTAGCAGTAAGATTCACGAAACTTAAACACAATGTAAGTTTCAGAAAGTTTTATGAAGTGTCAGGTATTAACTTCTTTTGGTGATTTCGGCTTTAAATTCTTCAATTGTTGGCTCAGTACAGTTACTTATGTGCTAACCTACAACAGTCTTTTTCTGGTACTGGTATGTGTGCTCAGCATGGAAGTAATTACAGCTACTTGAGAAGACTGAGTTCTCTCTTCATCTATGGTCCCAGAGCTGCCTTTTCTGCAGAGCATTTGTATTGGAAACTTTTACCATTTCATTTACAATCTCACTAAGATGGTAAGTTTATAAAAAGTCCTGTAAATACGCTAGATGAGCAGAATTTCAGGAATCTGGAAGCAGGAACTAGGAGAGTGAAATTAAGCACTTGTTGTATGTGTAAATAGATATTAGGTATGTCATTCAAAATCAATCATAGTTAGATAATACACTTATAATATCAAGGTCAGCATTATTCTTAATTATGCCCCGAATTCTTAAAACATGCTGTTTTTGCATGTATTTTGCCAGTCTCTTTTTTATTTGAGCTTAAGTAGACCAGTATCAGTTGACATTTAGTTTTTTTAAAAAAGCTGGCCTGGCCAGGCTTGGCTCAGCAGTTGAGCATCAACCTAGGATCCAGGAGATCACGGTTCAGTTCCCAGTCAGGGCACATGCCCAGGTTTCGGGCTTGATCCCCAGTGAGGGGTGTGCAGGAGGCAGCCGATCAGTGACTCTCTCATCACTTGATGACTACTCTTTCATATCTCTCTCTCTCTCTCCCTCCCTCTCTCTCCCTGAAATCAGTAAAGATACCTTAAAAAAAAAAATGAATTGTAAACAACCGTGGCAAAAGATAAGGCTAATAAAATAGGGAAAAAAGATAAGAATCCACTTACTTTAAAAGAACTATTTGAGACATTCTTATTTTATAGATACGCATATAGCTTACAATTCTGTATTGTACAATATTATTTTATTTTCTACTTTGGTCTCTGCTTTTTCCTGTAGGATTTCCTTGTGTTTAAACACACAGTTCATATATTTATCGTGTTTACATGCTTGCTTTTCTCACGTTTAAAAGGTTTAAGAGCAGGGCTGTATCTTATTAGTCCATCTGTTCCCTGCATAGAGAATGAGACTTAATGAAGTATAATCCATTGTATTTTCCAGGTGTTCATGATCTTTCTATCTTTCTTTGTTTTTTTGATCATTACCATTTTTTCCCTGACTCTGCATAATTGAACTGGATTTTATGGATGGAAAGTCTAAGTAGCATCAATTGTGTCCTGCCTTTCCACCCCATCTGCTTTGTGTGGCCTTTATCTGATCTGAGCTGTAGCCACCTCCTTCTTTCCATTCCCTCTACCACCAGGCCCCGTGATTCTGCATGTTTTTCCGCATTCTGTCACCCCCCTCTGAAGCTGTGTGCTTGTCCCCTGCCTGAGTGCTAGTAGGACAAAGATCAAATTCTGTCACAGGCCAGGCAGGTTCTTCATAATCTGGCATCCACTAACCTCGGTCTCAGTCTCATCTCTAGCCTGTCACAAGTCCCTGTGCTCCAGTTTTATATTAAAAACAAACAAAATATGATTTCCCAAAAATGCTATATTATGTATCACCCCCTGCCTTTGTACCTCCTCTCTGGGCACTTTACTGAGCAGGCAGCTGTTCCTTGATTCTTCTGTGCTCCGTAGCATTTTGTTCACTCAGCAGTTGTAACTTGCACCAAACTGTATTATTACTTTGTGTATCAGGTTTCCTACTAGACCACGTTTTTTGTTTTGTTTTTTAAATATACTTTTATTGATTTCAGAGAAAGGAAAGGAGAGGGGGAGAGAGAGAGAGAAACATCCATGATGAGAAAGTCATTGATCGGCTGCCTCCTGCACGCCCCAAAACGGGGATCGAGCCCGCAACCCGGGCACGTGCCCTGACCGGGAATCGAACCCCCATCGCCTGGATCCTGGATGGGCACTCAGCCGCTGAGCCACGCCGGGCTGGGCTAGACCAAGTTTTACAAAGCCTCTGACCTACTTGTTCTTATTCCTCAAGGCCAAACAGTTCCCAGCATATCAGGACAGTCATGGTACTCTTGAGAGTGGTGTTACTTAATTTCTCTCAGGTTATGGAAATATGAAAACAAGATAATATATAAACTTAGAGATATAAATGTTTAGACCTAAAATGCCTATGTGCCTAATAGGCACAGTAGTTTATTATGCCATCTGAAAGGGCATCTGTGAAAGTATTCCAAACAAGACAATTAAAATTGACTATCTGGAAAATCAGATTCTTAGGGTGCCATCTGGGACACATTTGGGGCTAGATAACCTTAATATAAATAAAACCAAAGAGTGCTAGTACTTTCCAAGATTGTGATAGTTGTACATTGTTGCCCATTACTGTGATGCTGGTTATTAGCGTAAGAAAAGATAACACATAATGGACTCACAAAAATTTCTGAAGCCTGGATGAGCATTTAAAAATTTTTTGCAATTGCAGTTGGCATTTAATATATTATTTTCAAGTGTACAAGATATTGGTTAGACATTTCTCTAACTTACGAAGTGATCCCCCAATAAAGTCTAACTGACACCATACATAGTTATTACAATGTTGTTGACTGTATTCCCGTGACTTTTTATAATTGGCAATGTGTACATCTTTATCCCTTCACCTTTTCTGGATGAGCATTTTTTAATGTTTTTTTCGAGTGTAAAGATTCTAATCAGTATATTCTTAGTATAACCGTTGTATATGAATCTTTTGAGCATTGCAGATAAAGGACCTTTCAATGTTTGCTTTAAACACAAAAGCTGTCTGATTTTAGTAATTATCTTTTAATTTCAAAAGAAACTGTGGTTTTTATCTTTCAGTGTTGAAAATGAGCCCATGAGTACAAGTCAGAAAAAGGAAAATGTACTTTCATCAGAAGCAGTAAAGGTATAGTGTTAAATTAATATTTTATATCAAGCAAATATTTTTCTTAATTTCTGCTCATTCTTATTTTTTAGATTCTTTCATCTCATTTTACGTTCTAAAAAGAGCACCTTATGCGGAAATCCAGCCAAGCTCTACCAAACATTTGCATCTTAGGGTGGGGTGGATATTGGGGGAGAGGGCACTGAGGGAGTTGAAAGAGTGTGGGGTTCTTATCCCCGCTTGGCCACTAACCAGCTATGTGGCCTTCAGCTGAGGCGGTTAACTTCTTTGTGCCTTAGTTTTCTAACCTGTAAATTGGATCATATGACCTCCAGAGCCTCTTTCTGTAGGAAGGTCTTTGATGTATGTTGTGTTTTCTCAAATGCTGCTGAGAAGTAATAGTGCTTTTAAGGGTAGAAGTTAATAACGTGTTCTCACATGTCACTAGTATGTGATATATTTGGTTAGCTCACATATGAACTGGCTTCCCTTTCTTCTAAAGTGTATAAGCTATAATACGCCTACCTAGATAGTTATTGACAAGTGTGGTTTAAAAACCTTGAAAATCACTAAACCTTGTAACATTTCTTTTTACCCATGAGAATTTTCTATAAATGAGGTGTTTGCGTTGTTTGGTGATGTGAAGCCAGGTATGTGATCACATTTTGGTAGCTCTCCCACATTTGTAGAATTTGGTCCCAGTTACTTTCCTTAAACCTGATTTGTGACAGTCAAGCATAGTGTGTACTTTCCAGATATTTCAGGGTAACTTATCTTGGTCAGTAGGACCAGGAAGTCATCTGAATTCATTACTGACGTGGGGCACTTTTAAACACTATGTAAGGTTCAAATGCATTAAATATGGCCAAGATAAAGCTGTTTTCATTCTTTAGTACTGCTTTCCCCATCGTTGTAAGCAATATATATATGTGTGTGTGTGTATATATATATTTATTTATTTTGTTGATTTTGAGAGAGAAAGAGAGAAACATTGGTCGGTTGCCTCTCATGTGCACCCTGACTGGGGATTGAACCAGCAACCTTTTGAGCCACCTGGCCAGGGCAATATAAATAGTTTTTGAAAGAAAATCAGTATCTGTTTTTTTTTAAAACTTTACTGAAAGAAAAAATTAGGATTACCTTGATTCTCTTATCTTTCTTCATTCCTTTGTGAATTTGGCTGCAAAATCCTGCTCCCAGGTTTGTTTGTTTTTGTTGGGGGTTTTTTTGATTTGGGGAATTTTTTTGGTTCTTTTAAAATGGTTTTTTATTGATTTTAGAGAGAGAGGAAGGGAGAGGGGAAAGAGAGAGAAATATCAATGATGAGAGAATCATTGATCGGTTCCCTCCTGCACCCCCCTACTGGGGAACAAGCCCACAACCCAGCACATGCCCTGACCAGGAATCGAACCGTGACCTCCTGGTTCATAGGTCAACGCTCAACCACTGAGCCATGCCAGCTGGGCCTACTCCCAGTTTTCATACCATCTCCCACCTCCTCTTTTGCAGCCACTTGTTAGCCAGCCTGCAGGTCTATCACTGCACAGACGGTAGCTTTCTCCTTCCATTTTACATGTCTTGATTTGTGGTACTTCAAGATTCTCACTTCTAATGCTCTGCATATGACCTTGCCCTTGAATTGCTTCACAGGAAGTGTTACTGGCGAGATCTCAGACTTCGAGTTTCTTTGACTGCCAACTCTTGCCATTCTATCTCTTAATCCCTCATGGCTTCCATCCCCACCCTGACCTTCGCCAAACCTTCCTGTTCTTGTCCTGTTCTTCCCTCTTGGTCTTGGCTTCTTTCTCTCCTCAGCCTGTAACTGATAGTGTACTACTCAGCTCTAATCTCACTGTAAAAACCTTCAGTCTCCAAACTTGGCCTTCAGACTTGAATGTCCAATGGTGCTTCTTTCCACCTGCAGAGATTTCATCCAAAAAGCCACATGTTTGTGGAGTCAGTAAATATATATGGCAGGCAGATATAGTGGCTGGGCCTTCGTGATTACTGTCTTGTCTATCCATTCTTAATATCTTGCTTTGAGTGCCCAGGATAATTTCAGTTTGAGAACTGGGCCCCCAGGTAAATATGATTCACAGTGATGAGACTGTTTCTCTCTATAATTTGAGGCCTATGAGGTTCCTTATACACTGGCAGCCTAGTTAGCCCATAATAGAACAGGCACCATGGAACTCTCACTGTGGTAGCCTGAGCATTTTGGCCCATGTAACTGGTTTTTTATCTTCCAGAAACTACTGTTAGAATTTCTTCAGGGACCTGTTACTGCCAGGCATCAAAAATATGTATTTTAATAATACCAATAGTCAGCCCCATACTTTGGGGTAAAAAATGTTAGCAACGATATTTATGATCTTATTTTAAATAGTCTTAATTTTTTTGTTGTGTGGTGTGTTTTTTTACTCAAAATATTACAGAGGTCTTCTTTTTTCTTCATTGACCCCTTCCACCCTGCACCCACTCCTCTCCCTAGGCCTCCACCACACTATTGTCTGTGTCCATGGATTATGTATATATGCATATAAATTCTTT